TTTTACTGGGGACTGGGCTCTGAGGTCCCTGGTGGAGGCTGACCGCCTGTCCTTACACTGGGGACTGGGCTCTGAGGTCCCTGGTGGAGGCTGACTGTCTGTCCTTACATTGGGGATCAGGCTCTGAGGTCCATGGTGGAGGCTGACCGCCTGTCCTTACACTGGGGATCAGGTTCTGAGGTCCCTGTTGGAGGCTGACCGCCTGTCTTTGCACTGGAGATCTGGCTCTGAGGTCCCTGGTGGAGGCTGACCACCTGTCTTTGCACTGGAGATCTGGCTCTGAGGTCCCTGGTGGAGGCTGACCGCCTGTCCTTGCACTGGAGATCTGGCTCTGAGGTCCCTGGTGGAGGCTGACCACCTGTCCTTTTACTAGGGACTGGGCTCTGAGGTCCATGGTGGAGGCTGACCGCCTGTCCTTACACTGGGGACTGGGTTCTGGAGGTCCATGGTGGAGGCTGACCACCTGTCCTTACACTGGGGACTGGGCTCTGAGGTCCCTGGTGGAGGCTGACCACCTGTCCTTTTACTGGGGACTGGGCTCTGAGGTCCCTGGTGGAGGCTGACCGCCTGTCCTTACACTGGGGACTGGGTTCTGGAGGTCCCTGGTGGAGGCTGACCGCCTGTCCTTACACTGGGGATCGGGCTCTGAGGTCCCTGGTGGAGGCTGACCGCCTGTCCTTGCACTGGGGACTGGGCTCTGAGGTCCCTGGTGGAGGCTGACCGCCTATCTTTGCACTGGGGACTGGGCTCTGAGGTCCCTGGTGGAGGCTGACCACCTATCTTTGCACTGGGGACTGGTGGAGGCTGGAGATGATGGTCACACTTACCTGGGACTTGCTGTTGGCTGTCCCTTCCTGCTGCCCAGGGCCTTGTGTGCAGTCTGCCTGCTCTGCTCCTCAGGCTCTTCTCCCACTCTGCCTCTACCCCCAGCCCACCATAAAGGAGGTGGAAGGTGGGGCTCAAACCATCCTGCTGGAGAAACAGTTCCCCACTCTCTTGCTTTATTATGGGAAGTAGCTAACGCACCTAATTTCTCCTTTTTGGTTGTGGGGCTTGAACTCGAGGCCTGGGCTCTGTCCCTAAGCTCTTTGGCTCAGGCTAATCCTGCCACTTGGAGCTGCAGCTCCACTTGTGGTTTTCTGGAGTGTCTGTCTCCTCTCGGGGAGTGCATGTCTCCCTGGAGCACCACGTGGTCCACCACTGAGCCTTTCCCACGCATGTGTGCAGAGCTGGCCCACAGAATCTGACTCTGGGACGGCGACGTGGCGTTCTTCAGACCACATAGATACCAGGCCCACAGTGGGACTCCTCAGCACCCCACCCCTGGAGCCCAAAGACAGAGCCCTGGACAGTGATTGAGCAGCAGTCATCAGGAGTGAACTCGCACTGTCAGGTGTAGGTCAGGTGTCTCAGAGTGCTGAGACGCTGTCAGAAGCAGGCTTGGCATCCGTCACTATACCCTCAACACGCTCTGTCCATTCTGAGTCCTGCATTTCACAGCTCACACTTTTTTCTTTGTTTGTTTTGGTCAGACGTGGTGCCTGAACTCTGACCTGGGCGCTGCCCCTCACAGCTCAAAGCTAGCGCTCTACCACTTCAGCCACAGCGCCACTTCCGGCTTTTTTCTTTTTACTTATGTGGTGCTGAAGAATCGAACCCAGGGCCTCATGCTTTCAAGGCAAGTGCTCTACCACTGAGCCGCCTTCCCACCCCTCACAGCTCACTTTTGAAGTAGCATCTTCACCTTGAGTATGTGCTCATCACGGCCCCTTTGAGTTCTCTCCTTCCCTGAGAATGCATTAATCTAAAAGGGGAAAGGGGAGGGGAAGAGGGAGACCAGAACCAGGTTCAGGTCCGATGTGCGTGTGTTAAACACCTGGTGTCTGCCTGGCTTTGCCCTCAGGGTGTCCATAATTCCCCCTGTAGCCTCTTGGAGCCCCAGCTGAGTAAATTGAGAGGCCTGGTGGGTGAAGACCCAGCTCCCGCTCACGGCGGGCATCGCCGCCGGGCCTCCTGCCCTCTGCCAGGCTCCTCCTGAGGGGTCCTGCGACTTCCTCCCTCCCAGCTTGGAAGGCCGTGCTTCTTTGCTCTCCGCTGGTCTGGATGGTTCTGGATGGTTTTGTCCCTGCTGCAAGGGAGGGCTGTGCACACGGTGCATTCTGGGCAGCAGTGCGGCAGCGATTCCCTGACCCTGTGGGACTGTGGGGTGGCTGCCGTGCAGACCCCAGGGCAGGCAGACACGTGGAGCACGGTCCTGCCGCCCATGGGCCCTGGAGCTTCTGAGCGCCCAGGCCTGGGAGGGCAGCCGCGGGGGGCGGTCAGCTGTCTCCGGGGAGGGCGGCGCGGGTCCAAGGGTGCTCATGGCTTGTCTCTCGTCGTCCTCTCTAGATTCTTGCCGCAAAAGTACTCAACCTGGTCATGCCAAACATGTCACTGGGGCCCATCGACTCCAGCGTGATCTCAAGGAACAAGACAGAGGTGAGAGTTTGGGGCGAGCCTGGAGTGGGTTCATGGCCTTTGAGTAAGGTCAGTGCATTTCCCGGTGGGAAGCTGTTTGGGGTCTGTCCTGCAGTGGTTTATGTGGCCCTGTGCCCAGCGATGGGAGACACAGGAAGGAAGCAGTCCCGTGGTCTTCTGGCTGAGTGTTTGAGCTGTGTCCTCACAGTCCGAGGAGCTGCCCAGCGATGGGAGACACAGGAAGGAAGCAGTCCCGTGGTCTTCTGGCTGAGTGTTTGAGCTGTGTCCTCACAGTCCGAGGAGCTACCAGGGGACCGGCAGCAGCCTGCTCGCTTTGGAGTGCAAGTGACCAAAATCCAAAGTGAGATTAGGCAAAAGATTTATTGGATGCAGCAACTGAAAGTGTCAGGCATGTCTGGATCTAGGGAGTTAAAAGTCCTGTTTTCCATCTGCCTCTCCTCGGCCCTCATCCCCTCTGGCTTGACTTGGTTCCCAGGCTAGCTGGGCCTACGCATGGGCAAAGGTGGCCGCTGGCAGCTCCCCCCCAGCCGCCCTGGGGCACAGACAGCCCCTTTCGGGTGGATTCTTACTGACTGACTGTGCAGGCCTGGGTTCTTGTCTAGGAAAGGAGTGGTGTTAGCCCCGCCGAAACTCAGAGCCTGAGAGTAGGGGAAGAACGGCTCCAGGATTGGGCTAACAGGAAGGACAGGCCGCCGCACAGGCCTGTGAACGACTCACTTCCTTGGCTCACTGTTGGGCTGGCCTGAGGACCTGCTGGGTCCTGGGTCTGGAATGGGGAAGCCTTCCTGTTGGTGAGCCGCCACGTGGCGCCCGGCTGAAGCCGCTGCTGCGTGCGCGGAGTCTTGGTGGGCGGCAGGGGTCTCTCACCTGCCCACCCCGCACACCGTGGCTTTGGCCTGAACGTGGGACCTGTGGAGAGCCCAGCTATCTTCATCAGAGACAGACAGACAGACAGACTGGCTTGCCTGTGCGGTCTTTAGGTCGAAGCACCCAGGTTGCTCTCTTCCCCTCTGCAGAGGTCTGGGAGATAAAGAGAAAAGACGATTATTTCACACCCCTTCCCTGCTGAGAAACGTGGAGTTACGGAGCTTTGTTAAATCAGTTAAATTACTGACGTCCGATCGGGAGAACAAATGGAAGGGACCTTTCTGGACTGGAGCCTGTAGCGTTTCTCCCCGCCGGCCTCTACCATGGCCAGGGTTAGGTCATGGGAGGGCGGGGCTGTCGAAAACGACCCCCTTTTCCTGCTGGGAGATGCAGGAAGGGTACGGACTCCAGTGACCAGATCTGGTGAGATCAGTGTTCCAGCCCGGGGTGACCCCTGTGGGGCGCAGGCACCCTGGATTGAGGGATAAACACCTGCACTGTAGCTGGGGAGCGCGTGGGGCTCAGCCCCTCGGACCCCTCGTCCGTGCCGAGGCACAGCTTCAGCCCACGTATTCCAGGACCCCTGCAGTTATAGAAACCTCCAAAGGCAGATACGTTCCCTGACAAGCTAGGTAAGGGGGTGCCGGCGGGGTCCCACCGAGGCACAGGTGATGTAGGCCGGTCGGGCGGGCAGGCCTGCAGGCACTGGCCAGGCTCGGGGGAGGTGGTCGGGGAAGCAGGTGTCGCTGTGGTGGACATGGACAGGGAGCTGCGTGTTTGGGTTGCTTCGTGCCCCACCCCCACCCCCAACACAGTCTCCCCACTTCTGTGCGGCCCAGCAGAGGCCGGCCCAGCCCAGCTCCAGGGTTTGGACCGGGTCTGGCTACCCTGGACCTGGCGGCTGTGACTTAGGCCTCTGCTGCCTCTGACCACCAGGGCTGCCTGGTTAGAGTGCTTTCCCTCCCCCAAAAACCTTGGTGTGGTTCTGAATTTTCTCTGGCCTGGACGGGAGAGGAGGGAGAGGGAGAGGTGGCTGGGTGGCTCTTGCTGTGCTAAGCTTTGGACCTACTCTAAGAACGTCTTCTGGGCAGGGGGACGCAGTGCGGGGAGGTTGGAGGGGAGAGGCAGGGAGGGACACGGGCCCTGAGAGTGCTCCCCCATGGAGCCCTGGAGGTGCTCTTTCTTCTCCTGTGGAAGCCCAGTATCCTCCAGCGTCCCCTGTGATGCGGGCAGCCAGGCCAGGCGAGCTCTGGCACCAGGAGCTCGGGACGGGGCAGCTCTGCTTCCTTCCACACAGTGCTTCAGACGCACCCAGCGTCCGGAGGAGGCCCCTGCCCCCTGGCGCCTCCACGTGGATGGGCCAGCCCTGCCCTCCCGCCCTGCCCGCCCTCCCCACCCCCAACCCCTTCCTGCCCACCAACATTGTAAAGCTC